AACAATTCCCATTCACTGGGTGTTAACTTATTTTTGTTCTGGCTAATTAAATTTCTATATGCCTTACTTAACTGTATGTCAGATTCTTTTCCCATGTTTTGGAAATTATCTGCTATTCTGCAAATAGTTTTTTATATCATTTGTGTTGACTCCTGCTTTTTTATTGACACCAATTATTCTTATATTAGTATTTTTCTACATCATCTTGTAGCTGTTGAATAATTTGCTGATCTTTTATTATTTTCAAAAGATTGTTTTCCTTAAGGATCACTAGGCAAAATCCTGCCTTCAAGGTGTGAAAGTCTATCTTCAGTTTGATTCAATTGGCTTTGCCACTTTCAGTGGAATTTTTAATTTCCTGGATATCTGTTTGAATCCACTTTCCTTTATTGATCATTGAAGACTTCCATCCTCTTCCTATCATCATCAATTTTTTATCTATCTCTACTCTAGGTTTGCTGAGCAATTACTTTATAAATATTGACACTTCTTATTTTACCTGAGAGATTATTTCTGATCTGATTTCCTCTATAGTCTCATGTATTTGTTTCTTTATTTCAGTTGCTATCCTTTCAGAAATTTCAGGTGTGTGTCTTCCATTTTCCTCTGTCTTGCTGTCTTCTATACTTGTGCTGGATGAGCTGAAGGTTTGAGGTTACATTTTGCTTCTGTGTCTTGAATTTTCTATTTCAAAAGTTATTATTTTGTTTTCTGTGTTGATCTTTGTAATTTTTTTGTAGTAGGTAGCTATATTACTAGTATCAAGGCCTCTCTAGGTAAACTTTGTTCTTTGGAGATGTCTTCTGTTTGTACAAGGTGGTTGGTTTGTAACTATCTCAAGGTCCTACCTTTCCAATTAATTAAGAGTGGGATGTTGCTATCCATTTGGCTCAGTTCCCCAATCCTCTGGTGCTGGGGTGTGGTAAGGTTATTACACCAGAACTTCCCAGTATTGTTACAGAAGTGAGAACAACTGATTAACACAGAAATGACATGCTAGCTAAAGTAGTATAATTACCAATAATGATAGCATCTAGCACTATTTAGACACTGACAAACCATGGTAATGATTAATTTTGTACCTCTAACCATAGGAGCAAAATCTACAATTATATTACAGAATTGATCATATTTTGGAAACTTGTATGCAAAATGTTTCCCCTTGGTAGAGTTGTTTTTACCCTCTGGTGGGGAAATTTAAGAATGATAGTGGATAAAAGAAAGGCAACTGAAAAGAAAGTAGAAACCAGGCTGGAGGACAAAAGATGATCATGTAAGCTTTGGGAAAGTAGAGAAGAGGGCAGAAGAGAAAGACTAAAGGGGTAAGCAAGGGATTATCTGAACTTGGTTTCGGGTTTGGGGCATAGGATTCATTTTCTGTGGCTTGATTTTACCCTGTTTAGAAAAGAGAACAAAAGATAAGAAAAAAGAAAAGAAAAATAGAGAAGAAAAGGGGAAACCCCACCTGCCTGCTTCTATTCTTTGTGTCTTTGTTCCCAAGCACAACGCTGGTTTGTGTAACTTACCATTTGTTGGCTCCTACTATTACTGTTGCTTCTGATGATTTCATGCTGCTAGTCCCACCTGTCCAGCTTGTGACCCTGCCTGGGGGCCCTACTATGTGACTGATGTTCCTGCTGGTGTTTGCGTCTTCCTATGCTAATTCTCTAGCTCAAGAAAAAGGTATCAGATTTAGGCTTGTATTCATTCTGTCTGAATGTAGAACTCATCCTACACTTTTCAACTACATGAACTGATAAAATGTCTTTTAAATCCATAAGAATTTGGATTTAACATCCATAAGTACCAGGAAATATAGTTTGAGAAATGTTGTTCTAATATTTTTGTGGCTCATAGTTGAGTATTGACATATACTTTCCATCTTCAATTATGTTCTTAGCTCTGGAATTTCTTAATACCTATCATTTTACTACAGACATGACTTAGTTACTATATTATTTTGATAAAGTAATTACTAATTGATGCATTGACTTGGTATATATTAATATGGTATAATTAATATCATAACTATATTAATGAATTCATGGTAAATATGATAGAAATGTATAATTGGGAAGACATATTAAACAAATAATTAAAACCATACATCTGCTTTCTGCTTAAATTAGGTCCTGGTCCCTTTCTACCTCAGTACTTATTATTCTAGGATTAGTTATAGTCATTATCTTTGTCTAAGAGCCTTCTTTAACTCTCCAGAATGTTTAGGTCCCACAATCATTATAAAGCTGTCACTGTACTTGCACTATGTCTTTGACATACTCATCAGAGTTTTGTTAATTATTTGACTGAGTCAGATGTGGTGGCACATGCCTGTGATCCCAGCACTCAGGCGGCTGAAGCAGGAGGATATCTGTGAGTTCAGGGCCAGCCTGGGCTACATAGAGAGAAATTTCAAAAAATGTCTCAAAAAATTTTTTCGTGTAAATATTTGTTCAATATTATTTTCTCATCAGAAGGTAAGGCCTGTGGTCTTCCATGTTCCTTGGATCTCCTGTAATGCTGTGTATAGTGGTTTCTCACTATCAATAGAGGGAATAACGAGTGCTTGAGCCTCATAAGAGAAGTTAAGGTAACACAGAAGCAGAGACAGGAGGAGTCACCCTGGGCTACAGGAGCGAAGAAGAACTCCTGAGCAAAGGACAGTTGAGCTGAAAGAGGACGAGCTAGGACAGTCATCCAGGTGTGGGGATCGAGAGCACACTAGCTGAGGCAGCACGTGAAGCGATGTGAAAGGAGTCTGAGCCATCTTATGAAGAAGCACTGGGGGGTTTTAATGTCAAGTGTTTAGACTTTACAGCAACAACATTTGGAAGCTATTCTGAATATAGAAATGATAAACCATTTTACTTTTTTTAAAAAGGACTGACCAGTGTCTCCAGAACTGCTCAAGGGTGAGCAAACCCGGAGAAGCAGTGAGATGGGAGTGGAAATGTGACTAGCTCAAGGGAGGAGTGGCATGGCAGAGATGTTGCATTTGCCCTCACTTCTTTTACTCGACAAGAAGCTATTGTGTACTTACTGTACCAAGAGATACTCTAGATAATGATGAGTATTATAGAAAGGAACGACACAGAAAAGATCCTGAATATATGGGTTGCCATATTAATTGGGGAGTGAAATGCTGACAAATGAATACATAAATAGCCAAGAAAGATACATTACCTTGGAAGGAGTAGCAGTAGATAAAAATGGAGTTTTTAATCCAGTTTGTGAAAACCAGAGTACAATGGGATGACATCTTTCAAGTACTCTTGGAAAACAATTGCCAAGCATTATGAAAGTCTAATGAAGAACTCTTAGGGATGCAATATAGTGTCCTAGATAGAAAGCTCATGGTCAAGTCACCTAAGATATTCACAAATCTGAGGGACTCTCTTGTAACCTGAAGATGATGATTTCAAGGAAAGAAAAATAAGTAAAATACTGTTACACCAAAAACTCAAAAAGAATAGAAAAGTAAGGCATTTTTGGTTTATTTGCAACATATTTTGAAAATCTTTGATTTTAACAAAGATTTATATGAAGGATGAAAATAAAATTATTTCTCAAATAAAGGAAAAAAAAAAGGAGGAAGAGGAGAAAAAGAAGAAACTTACTTTCCAAAGTTAACAAGGTAGGAACAGGACAAGAACTAAATGGAATAGCTGGGCATGGTGAACACACCTATAATCCCAGTACTCAGGAATCCTAAGCAGGAGGATTGCCACGAGTTCGAGGATAGCCTGAATTATATAGTGAGACAGTGACTCTAAATAGTAAGTAAGTAAGTAAATAAATAAATAAATAAAGGAACTAAATGGAATAGATTAATGTGAATTGTTTCTCTATTGGAGTTTGAAAATGTTTTTTCTTTCCCTATTAAACTTTCACATTTAAAACGTTTTTGAACTTTGGTAAATCATTTCAATTGTATGGACTTATTTATTTATTTTTAATTCCAACCTGATCACTCTTCTTCAACGTGTAGTGAGGTCAAAGTGCTCTGTTAAGATATGTTTTACTAATTTAGAGACATGTCATTTGTGCTAAATGCTAAACTATAGAAGTGCCCGCTAGAAAGCTAGGCAGAGAGGAGGTAAAAACACAACTATTACTAAAAAGGTGGAAGCAACCCTAAGATATTCTTTCTGTATTAGCGCATACTAGTTGTACAGAATAATGGATTTCTTTCATGCCTGCATATGCTGAATTTTGATCTTACACAATCTAAGTTTGGTAGTTTTTAAATGGGCCAGCAACTCCTCTCCCTCCCTTTGAAGACAAGAATGTGTGCCGGACGCTAATATTTTCGTTTTCTCACCAAGGGGCACAATTCTTGAATGGAGGCATTTAAAAAGCCTTGGGAAGTTTTCTTTACAATCAAACTAACTTTCAACGCTATGGCTAGCTTTGCATAGGCCCTTTCTCCAGTGCGGCTGAGTGCTCCGGCTCGCTGCTTCTGGCTCTACATCCCGTTGCCTCCTTTCTGCAGTTTCCTTTTTCTCTTTCTTTCTTCATGGAACACTGCTGGTGTCCATAAGTTCCCTGCTGGCTGCTACGTTCAAACTTGCCTCGTTCAAAGCCACTTGGGAAAGACAGAAACAAGGGTTTGGGGAAGGACTTGTGAAATTTTCTAAGTTTTCCGAAATACATTTGGAACTCTGTCAGGGGCCAAATCCGAAAGGTTCTTGAGTATTGGAAGGGGTGGATAGGCAGGGTCTTCAGAGATCAATGCTTTTAACTTCACTGCTCAGAGGATCGGATCGTCCTCCATGCAGTCCTTGTCTTTTCCGAATCACCCACAGCTCCTGGGCCCATCATCAGATCTCACTGGGTAGCTAAGGACGGGCCAGCTGAGTCTGGAACCACAGGACCACCTGCAGCCTCCTCCTCAGAGGGCCCTGGAGGGGGAGGAGGCCGTTCCTGAGAGCGAGGAAGAGGGGGTGGCAAGGGGAAGGGGAGCCCGAGGTGGGCGTGGAAGAGTCGGCCTCGCAGGGCTGATTGGCTCCCGAGGCCAACCCTCTAGCCGCGGTTTATAAGAATTGGGGCTGCCCCGAGCGCCCTGCCCAGGAGCCACAGCCGGGCCTCCGAAAGCGCTCCTCGAAGTCCTGCCTGGCCCTGGGCCTGCCCTGCGGCTGCTTTTGGAGTCGCTGCGGGCGAAGCGTTAGGAGCGAGAGGCCCAGGGAGCCGAGCGCCCGAGCGAGCGGGCAGCGCCATGCGCCGTGCCAGCCGCGACTACACCAAGTACCTGCGGGGCGCGGAGGAGATGGGCAGCGGGGGCCCCGGAGACCCGCACGAGGGCGCCCCGCACGCCGCGCCTCACGCCGCGCCGCCCCCGCCGCCCGCCGCTTCCCGCTCCACCTTCCTGGCCCTGCTGGGGCTGGGGCTGGGCCAGGTCGTGTGCAGCGTTGCTCTGTTCCTGTACTTCCGCGCGCAGGTGAGTGTCGCCTTCGCGTGCGCGCCGTCTTGTCCGGCCTCCTCCCGCCCTGGGGGAACTGAGTCCTGCTCCCCAGATCCTGACCGTTGCGGGGAAAGTGACGCAGACCGAGCCAGAGACGGAGACAAGCAGAGGGCGGCGCGCACCCGGTGCCTTGGCGCGGGCTGAGGGCGCGCTCGCGCGCCTTCCCGTCGCACCTTGCCCCGCGGAAAGCGGGCTCGCTGGGCCGGCGCTGGATTTGAATTTCCCCCCCGAAGCAGCATTGGCTGCGCATCTCTTCTGGAAGTAATCGCACACTTTCCTCCCTTTCCGTCTCTCTGCGGGAGTTAAAAACCAATTTAAGTCTCCTTGGGGGAAAACACAAGGAGTGCCTTAGCGTGGGCATCGACCTTGCCCTTCTGCCCACTGCTCCGGGGCTTTGGGCTCCCGGGTCTGGTGCGTCGCAGGCGCCCTGTGGGGCGGCTCACGGGGCGCACAGCCCGTGGAGCACGGGGCGATACCCAGTTCGCCAGATGGGCAGAATGACACCGCTGCCGAAGGCGCCCGGCTCCAGACGGCAGGCTAGAGGGGTGAAGGCAAAGGAAGGCCCAAGTGCCTGCCAGCGAGGTGGGCGGAGGAAGGAAGAGAGGTGTGTGCGACCGCGCTCGCCTCGCTCCCGAGTCACCCGCCTTTGAAAAGATGAAGGGGCTCTGCAGGAAGACTCGGAACTGCAGGGAGACAGTAGAAAGGAAGGGGTGAATGTGTAATATTATGCTTTCTGGTGGTTTATGCTCTGTGTGTTCTTGGAAATTGCAGTGCAGTTGGTTGGATTCATTCAAGTATTCTTGTCTGGTGCTGTGAACTCTTTCTCAGAGGAAGTGGGGGGCTGACTGTGCAGTTTTTTTTTTATGGGAAAATAAAGTTGGACTTGGACTTCGTTGGTTTTCAGATTCAAAGGTGATTACTACCCAACTGGACGCATCAGAACATGGAATTGCTTGGGTTGTGGAGTTGTTGACGAGGGCTGGGGTCCTGCCTGGAATGCCTGCTTTTTAAACCATAGGCTTTTTGTTAAGTATTCATTATCTGCTAGCTTGCATTCTATAACGCTAGTATGGTTATCAATTTAAACAAAAATAGAAATGCCACTAACACTACTTTAGAAAATTTGTATTTGTGCATTATAAACATAGTAGTTACCTTTTATTTTTTCTAAGACAGTTTTTGGGTAGTGTATTTGCAACATGGATTATACAAGTCTATGAACTGACTAAATTTTCTTCTTTCACTACGATGTGGTGAAGTCAAGAATGAATGTTTTACCCATTTATTTCCCATCCAGTATTTGTTAACAACCCCCAGTTAGTGTTTATATAGCATGGTTCTTAAATGCTGTGGCCTGTGACTTAATCATTCTACACACCGTGTCCACTTACTCTGTGTATGGTGCTAGCTAACAGTAGTAGTCAAATAAATGTTCAGGGTAGAAAGAACAGGAGGGAATAGACGAGTTCTAGGGACCATGACAGTTTACCTTGCCAGGAACCATGGAAATTAGCATGACCACATAGGAAAGAGTGACCAGCTAGGCTTCCGTTACAGTCGTTCAGCTTTCTGGAAGGCCTTCCAACTGCCGGGTGGGCTGAGAGGTGTTCTTCTGATGCTGCCAGCCGGCTGAACGGCATAGGAGTAATGAGACACTCAAATCCTTTTCCTAGGTCAAATATGTGATTTAATAAGCTTTATTAGACATTTTTCATTTAGAGAATTAGATTTCTGAGAAGGTGCAATATTTCCAACTGCGTTGAAGATTGGGTTTCTCTAAAATATATGCAAAATATTTTAATCATTATTCACAACCCAATTCTGTACTGCATTTTTAAAAGGGCATCTCCTTCAGTAAAGAAGCAGTATTAGGAGTAATGTGTTCATATGAATACTCCAGTAGATCTGATTATATTTTACTGAGTATGGTTATCTACATGTGATACCTAAAGGAATCTAATCATTTATCAACAAAAATCTGAAATATTTATGAATGCAATGCTATGTTGTTTGGAATTTATTTAAAAACAGTTGATGAGAAGGGATAGAGACAGGGATATCTGTAGATGAAACAAGATTGGCTATGAGATGGTAATTATAGAAGTTGGGTTATGGGTGCATGGAGTTCAGTCCATATGCTTCCTACATTTATAAATTTAAGAGCTTTCTCTTATAATTCTAGCTAATAGAGTAGGCTCAATTTGGCCTGTCACTGATTTAGTGTTTTTTTGCTTATGTCAACTTCTTTGAATTTTAGTTTGGTCTCAAATAATAGAGATTTTTAAAAGTTGTGGATCAAATACTCACAACGTCTGAAGGCATTTCAGTAAAAATAAAACCATTTAGGGGGCTGGGGATTTAGCTCAGTGGCACAGAGCCTGCCTGGCAATCGTGAGGTCATGAGTTCGATTCCCGGTACTGGAAAAACAAACAAACAAACAAAAAACCATTTGGTAACAGGGAAACCTATTTGCTTTGTATAGTTAAAAAAAAAAAAAAGGATAAAAGAAACTAGTTTAATTGTTTTAGTTTAAACATAGGAAAAAGAAGCTATGCAAATTCTCAAAAAAAGGAGTTTATTTTGAATGCACCAAAAATGCCCAAAATAGTGTAAAATTATAGTAACTTGAAATTGTTTTCTTAATTCATGTTTTAATAGTTAATAATGAACGTTTCAGATTGCCTAGGGTTAAGTTTTTTTAAAAAAATATATGTACTAGATCTGGTAAAGATTGGCTTTTTCTTACTAACGCTGCTGCAATGAAAATAGCATGTGGCTTGTGCTATGTATTTACCACATAACATTCATACTTGAGTTTACAAAAGAAAAAAAAAAAAGCTTTCCAAAAAGTTGCATGTAAAATGTGTGTGTGTGTGTGTTTGTGTGTGTGTGTGACATCTCCATAGCCATATTCAAAGCTTACCAATAAGATAAGCCCTCTTTAACTCCTTCTTTCTGTTTCCCCAAATGCACATACCAGCCTTTCTGGCAGCTTTTTAACCAGTGCAGCCATCACTACTGAAAATCTGAAGTCAGGTGTGAGGCTTCCTGTATGAAGACACTGAAAGTGAGACACCAAGCATCCTGCCTCATTTAACCCTTTTAATGGTTACGTTTCAAGGAAGTTAAAAAAAAAAAAAAAAAAAGAACACTTCAGAGGCACTGCATAATCTGATAAATGCATTTTAAAAATCTATTTTAAATCAGCTATGCAAAGTTTCATGTTTTCAGATATGCCTAGACACAATGATCTCATCTGTTACTGACTTTACTGTATTCTTTTGTGTAATTTCTCTGTTCCTCTGTTGACTTGTAACTTCCATGACGACAGAGCCTATTTGTTTTGCCCTCTGTCTTTTTCACAACATGTAGTACAGTACCTGGTGTGTTTAATTGACTGAAAAGGCCTTTCAATGATTTGTAACACTACATCTATCACCATTTCTAACTTAGAATATGTAAATTATCTCACTAGTAGCTAAGATAGTACAATTTTTAGCCACGCAAACCCTAATTTCCAAGCTGACTGGTAAGCTGGCTGATGTCTTTGCATGAGTCTGCTTTTCTGAGGTCTGAACCTAGTGACCCTTCAAGTCAGCTGTCCACATATTTTTGGTTTTCTGGCACACTTGTTAGCATAAGTGACCTTTTTTTTTTTTAACTAAAAACTGTGTTGAAGCTGTCCTTCTTAGACACTCACACACTGTGATTAATTATAATTATTCTGAAGAAAATAGAAATAAATATGGAGTACAAATATTTTTGCTTCATAGTGGCATTTCTTTGTGATTATAAATCATTGTACTTGCAAGGCTATACTAATATTATTTGTATTAATGAATACACACTTGTTAGAAGGCTATTGTTTCATTTTGACGGTTTCATATATGGGTAGGGTACCTCCTCGTTCTGGTGGTTGGTTAATAAACCTGCACATTTTTAAAATTACATTTAAAAATCTAAATAAATCAGGGAAAGAAAGACTTGGTACTGATCCTGACTGAACTTTTGTTATTGTAAACTTATATATTTTTGCCTACCTTCCTTCTTTCTCCTTCCCTTCCCTTCCCTTCCCTTTCCATCCCCTTCCTTTCTTCCTTCCTTCCTTACTTGCTCTTTCTCACTCTTTCTTTTTTGTCTTGTTCGTATGTACTAATAAGCAAACGCTTATGAAGTGTTTAAATTAAAAAAAAAAAAAAACAACAAAAAAACCAGGTTAAACTATTATTATCAGCGCAACCGGTAGCTAATTATTGCTACCCTTTATGTCACAGTTGAAACTGCTGCAAAGGCTTCCCAGAGCCCTAGGAAGAGCAGGTGGACACTGTAGAGTAGTGCAAAAGGACACTGGACATTTGTTTAGACCAGGCAGTCAGCAAATAACTCTATGGGGGATATTTAAGGTGGGACAATCTCTCCCTTACACTATGTGCATCTTGGCATTAATTTCCCCATGTTCCTGTGACGTTGAATTTCACCCCCACCTGTCCCCAAATTCTCCAGGTTGAGAAATACTGATGAGAGTTTTGACTACAAGAAAGATTATGCTTCTGACTTCAGGTTTTGCTTTGAGCTAGGAAATGGCTTTCTCTTCCTTTTCTTTTATTTATTAGATATTTATTGATGAAGAAAAAGGACAAGCAAACATTAAAGATGACATTAATTTTGCCTGATTAATACAGGCTTCATGCTTTGAATATCCAAAATGTCCAGACAACTGGCATCTAGCATGTTGTATATGTCTTAAGGACAAAAAACTTTCTCCCTGCACTGCACATGAGATTTCCTTGATGCTCCTCCCTAAATGAAAACTCGCAGGTTATCAGACAGTTTGAGAAGTTACATGTGAATCACACATCTGTTTTTGAAAATCTACTACAGAACTATGCCTTTTTGTATGGATGATAGCTCTTTATCAAAATGAATTAGAAGCCAACATTTTCATCAACTAGAGGGAAATTATATTAGCTATTAATTGTAAAAATTAACTTTTTGTTCTAGTCACATTTTACTAAATAACAGAATAAGTACTAATTACCACTCTGATATCTGCCCTCATCCTCAGATGGATCCTAATAGAATATCAGAAGACAGTACTCACTGCATTTATAGAATTTTGAGACTCCATGAAAATACAGATTTGCAAGACACAGCTCTGGAGAGTGAAGACACAAAGTTAATACCTGACTCATGTAGGAGAATTAAACAGGCCTTTCAAGGAGCTGTGCAAAGGGTAAGTCCACACTGAAGTTGCTAAGTCAAGGGCCTTTGCTGACTCTACAGTTATTCAATATTAACGCTTGCTAGGTGCTATTGATGCTGTTCTTTTTCTTTTAATAGTTTGTAAAAGAGCTAAAGAGAATGCCTTACAATATTGGTAGAATTGTTTTGAAATTGGTAGTAGTTGGTTATGATATCCAGACACATTTATGCAAATATGCATTTCATTTTATGAGGAGGTATTTAAATTCACTTAGAAAGAGGATAACAGTGGTTTGTAGTTAGTAGATGGATCAATGTGATAGTTTGAATTCCTTAACAGAGAAACTGTTCCTCAGGTTGACAGGACTTTCTGGTAGCTATTTCCTTTACATTTGGTTTTGTGTTCCCTTGTTCCTCATATGAGATCCATGGCTCTGATGAAAAGCTATTCTAACTGGACCTTTCTTGTCTTGTGTGGTGAGGAGGTAAGCATGCATAGCAGGAAATGATGTACTCAAGATGGAAATTCTGTGTCTGTTTTCTTATTTTCTGGGAGAGTTGGGTTATAAGAGAGGAGATGGGAACAAAGAAGATCAAAAGATTTCACCAACAGCTTCAATTGAGAAACACTCTATAACTGCCTGTTTTCTTTTCCTGAATAAAACCATCTGAAAATTTTGCAGACTTAGGACTATTTTACTTACTGATTTTACTAAAACCTGGATAGAAACTCATTGACTCCAGTGTAGAACACCCATCCGCAAGGCACATCTGTGTGCACACGCATAGGTGTTTGTGCAGCCAGCTGTCCAACCTGTTCTGCAGCTTCTTAGGTTGTAGCTTATCATTTCAGAGTAAATTGTGAAGTTCTCAAAACTCTTAAATCTAAATTTTGTTCACTTTAAAAATGCACATGGAGTAGTATTTTTTAAAGGTTGGAAATAAAATTAAAATAAAAATTAAATAAAATTAAATAAAACTAAATAAAAATTAAAATTTAATGAAAAAAGTGTATCAGTCAGAAGTAGAGGCAGGGAGATGAAGTTAGTCTGTAGAACTATTAAATGTAAATGTTTTACACCCATAAGTTTAAGATTTGCTGTATTTTATCAAGTTGAAGACATGAAGTTTTGACTTATTTCACTATGTTGTGTATCACTTAGATAGAAAAAAGGGCCAGGGATATAGCTCAGTGGCACAGTGCCTGCCTGGCAAGTACAAGGTCCTAAGTTTTATTCTCGGTACCAAAAAAAAAAAAAAAAAAAAGTGGAAGGACAAATTAAACATGATTGTAATAGATCCTAATTACATCTTAATTTTAGGAATACTACACTGTAAAAATAAGTGCATCATAGAATCAATAAAGTACATATTCTAAAATGTATAAGAAAGTCGTATTATTTATGAAAATCACATTTTCAATATAATTAATGAATAGATACTTTATATGGTAGATGTATAAAATGTGGTTTTAAATTCATTGATTCTTTTACATTATAATTTTTGAGCTGTAACAGCAAGGATTCTGCTAATCTGTTCATTTTCATTGCTCTGTTTATGCATCAGTTTTTAACCCAATTTGTAAACTTACCTCCCACATACATGACAATCTATCTATAAACAATTATTTACATATACCAGGGATTACTCTATTAGTCCAAAGCTGAATCCTTTACTGAGATAATTCTGGGTAGGTGAATGATTGTGTCCTGATTTGCTGTTTGGATTGGCCCACTTGTATCTCCTTAAAAATGAAGGAATGAACTTTTAATTTTATTGATGCTCTGGCTCTTAACAGTATCCTTTAAGTTTCTTATGGATGAAAGGTAAGATCAACCAGGATAATTTTGAAAATAAATAATGACAAATAACATTAATATTTATTTATGAAAATGCAAGAAGGGATCAGCCTTAATTGGTCAAGGGAGAAAAATGTTTTATCGTCTCATAGAACATGAGAAGTGATTGAAAAATTTTCCACCTATTATTTCTGATGTTTAAGATCCATAAGAAAATATACAGTTAGATGGATTCTTGATATTATCACAAATATCTCAGATTAAAAGTGAAAAATTAGAGTATTTCTCTAAAAATCAGGAGCATAATAAAGAAGTCCATCGTCCCTACATTGTGTAACATTGTTCTGACAGTGCTGGCAAATGTAGTTGCACCAGACATTGAAACGAGAAAAAATATTTAGAGAAAAGGAAAGGGGATGATTTTCGTGTGATATGATTGTGTACTTGGGAAAATTCAAAAGAAGCAGAAAGGCTACTGTTTATAAAAGTCAGTGATTATTACTAGATGTCTTCATTTTCAACATTAATTAGAAAACATGAATAGAGAGTCCATTAATAATTTGTAAAAAAAGTTCTAAAAATAAATTTAACAATGTTCAAGGCTTATAAGAATAAAGCTATAAAACTTTATAGAGACCTTTAAGGTAGAATTGGATGATACAAAGAGAAAACTATGCAAAATCATAATATTTATTGCAATATAACATATATGCATGTAGTTTAATATAAAATGAAGTAAGCAAGCATAGTTTGGATTATTGAAACAATGATATTTAGAATGGTCTGTTTACTGCCTTTGAAATGCTCTGTCCTCCAATCATGTTTGAAAGGAAAGCACACCCTGGACAGCGCAGCCCACCAACACTCCCTGTTGTTCCACTGAACTTGTCTTCCACTTCCTGCCTCACCAGAACTTACCGGTCCATCGCTGCATTTCCTTTGAGGTTTCTGAGTGATTGCCTAGCTTCAGAATCAAACAATTTGTATTAAGGACGTTTAGGAGCGGTAATGGTAGCACTTTGACTATTTTGGCAGCCATTGGAGATAGGGTGCCTCCTGCCAACTGAGCAGCACTAATAGTGAGAGATTTAGTTCCTGGTAAACCAGATGAAAGATCTTTGTGCAGGCAGGAATAATCAACTGCTCTTATAAAAGGCACATAGTCTTAATTATACGTAGATTATTATGGCTCACGGGGTGAGTAGAACTTTATTTCATTAGTTTCATATTTGTTTTTATTGTACTGTTACAATACAGCCAAGTGTATTAGTATAATGCCCTAATTATCACAACATAGCAGTGTGTACTAGAGGTAAATGATTCCATTTCCCCCAGAACAGATCTTTAGAAAAATGAATGTTATCCATACCTTGTCATTAGAATCAGTCAGTGTCCATTAACTGCACATACTGTTCTAGGAGCTTTGCCATACCTTTTCCTATACCCAGGGCTTTACTCTTCACTACCCCCAGGCAAATTAATGAATTGCCAATGGTGTTAGCCTTTACTGTGACATTCTATACAACTTGCCAAAATAATTAGATTTCTTATTTCACTTGCCAAATAGGATGCTGAAAATAGGATGGATGTATAAATAGGAAGGATGTATTAAGCATTTGTAAGTAGGTTTGTGTCTTAGCTTTAGTTCTAACATAGATATTGAGTGAGTCCACAAAACAAAATTACATGTGTGGCTGCAATCATTATTGAGAGATCAACCATCCAGTGGTAAATACCAGACATAAGCACAATATCACATTATATGTGTGCAGAAAGTGGTGTTTACCCAGCCCATCTCTGGTCAGACAAGTAATGCTGTTTTTCCCTCTTTTTTTTTGTTTGTGGCTAGATTTTCTTGGCTTTTTTTCCCCTTTAGCACAGAACTCTGAAAGCCTCTCAGTGATCCAACTCTACCAACCACAGTTTATAAAGTCTATCATAACAGTCTGTGACAATAAAGAAAACACAAGTACAAATATGGTGTCTGATTAGTAAAGTGATTCCTATTTTCAGTTTTGGCAGCCTCTCTGGCCTCTGCCAGCCACATGGGGGTGGGAAGAGGGGTGAGCTCAGGCCTGAGCAAGGACTGTGCTGCGTGGCAGAGAGTACGCTGGGCCTTGGACTGCCGGGCCAGTCTCCGTGGAGAGCCACTGTCTGTCTCTGCACTGACAGTGTGTCCTGAGTGGTCATAGCTGTGGCCCTTCTCAACTTCAGTGTGCCAGGCCACTGTTTCACAGTGGATATTTGTTTGGGGTCAACCCTCTGGAATTACTTGCAAAGATAATTGAAAAAATGGCATACAGGAGAGAGATTAATATACAAGTTACATAAATCACCTTGTTCTTGGAAATGTGATGTCTGATGAATTCAAGATCATCCCCTAGGAGATAGGAAGAAACATGAGGACTTATTTGTATATTTATTTTGTAGTATTATCTTTTAAAAATGGGATTTAAACTGCAAATATTTTATAATATATGATAAATGAGTATTTTATTTAATATTTAATAAATATGTATGTTTTTTCCTTGATAGAGCTGAACAATTAGAAATGTTTATAGGCCACTGAGCAAAGTTGCAAGACCATCAAGGAAAACACTGTCAATTTGCACATATTTGAAAACATTACACCCTAATTTGTTTTCAGAAATGAATGGAAAAAAGAACAAATAAATGATGGATTGAACTCTGTAAACTAATATTTTTGGATAAAATGGGACTGTAACCAATTTATAAAGCCATTCAAGAATAGTATAAGCTGGGCATGGCAATGCACACCTGCAGTCCCAGCACTGAGGAGACTAAAGCAGGAAAATTGCTGCGAGTTCATGGCCATACTGAGCTACACAGTGCACTCAAGGCCAGCCTGAACTGCATAACATGACCCTGTCTCAAAAAGAATAGAAACGAATATTATAAACCTGATTCTGGGGCTGGGGATTTAGCTCAGTGGCAAAAGCGCCTGCCTGGCAAGCGCAAGGTCGTGAGTTCGGTTCCCGGTACCGGAGAAAAACCAAAAAAAAAAAAAAAAAAACCTGATTCTTATGTGATCTTATCATTGTCACAATTGATAATTGTGAATAGTAGTGACTGTGTCAATAAAGCTTTGATACAGTCATCATTAGGTTACTTTTCATTAGAAGTTATCCAGTGCTGGATTTTTCACATTAGGCACATGTTCCTCATGTTTGTTTGACTGTCGGGAGCCTATTCAGTATGTAGAGGAAGGCCA